TATCCTGTAATCAATAATATCGCCGACATAATCACATAGCATTTAAACTCAGTTTGAATCTATTTTTGACAAATTCGATAACGGTCGAAATCCAGAACGTATATAAGCCCAAAATATCGAAATCCCGAGAGTATAGTGCATGTGTCCCAAAATGCATGGAATACTAAAATTATCACGGGATGTCGTTTATCAGGTTTTCATTCATTCAGGATGTCGTTTTGTGATTCTGTGATTCAGGATGTCGTTTTGTGATTCTGTGATTCGGGATGTCGTTCTTTCGGGATTTCGTACCAGACCCTGGGATCCGACAAAGAATCGTCTTTCGTAATATAAAATATCTTGAACTTATAAATAATAATACACAAATTTTAAATTTTAAATAGCCTAAAATTTCTACTTTCACACCGATTCCGTTCCGAGATAAACTATAAAATCGCTAACACCCCACGTGAACCCGGGTATTTACCGCATCAACTGGTACCGTGGAGAAAACATTTCGTGGTGCCGCCAAGTGCCCGCGGGTCGTTGTTGGTAGTTTGTTGTATTGTGTAGTTTTGGGTGATGCCATTATATAATTATTTTGTTATTTTATGGGAATAATTCAGTTTTCGTTGTTATTAGCTTTAGAAAATATGGTGGTGGTGAAAGATATAAGGTTTTTATTTATCGCGTAACAAAATAGCATAAACTTATACAAAATTTCACTTTTTAATTTGTTTAACTTTAAAGACTCATTTATTGCTCTAAAGTTTTGGCATTGTTGTTGGGGGGTTGTTTATATGGATTCGCGAGATTTTTGTCTGTACGTGGGGTGGGGGAGAAGTATTAGACTATTAACATATGGTTATTGCCAACTGCTTGTGTCGATATTGTTTGGGTCGTAGGATTATTTCGAATAATTTGGGTTGCGGAGATCAAGCACCAATCAACCAACAAGCCAGTTTGTTCTTAGGACAAATTATGATTCAATTATTTTTTGTTGATTATGCGCGTTTAACTTGCGCGTTTTTATTAATTATATGTACATAACATATAAATTCGCGCAGGAAATTAATAGATGAGAATTTTCTTCCATTCCACAAAAACAAAAGATTAATAATATAAAAAAAAAGTCAAGAGATTAAGTCTCGAAAAAACGAAATTTATAAGTGATTGAATATTTGCGCCATTTTTATAGGAATAGCGGAAAAGATTAACGAAAATTAATTTTGATAAAAAAAATTGCTTGTTAATCATAAAAAATATTCCGGAAGAATAAGTATCGGTATAACTTGACCATAATTTTTCATTTTTTTACTCGGAAAGCAAGAGTTTATCGTTATCTTTTAAAAAACTAGAATTCGGCAAGTGTAACGTGAAAATTATGTTAAATAAACATTCATCCTCGGAAATTTTTAAATTTTGTTCTATCGTTATGTTATACTACCATGCGAAGGAGATTATGAACTGCAGAAAATTTAGAGTAAATAATTGAATTAATAATAATTTTCTTTATTACTTCACGATTAACAATATAAATTATAGAAAGCGACTATCAAAATTGATTATGATTCGTGTTCTTGGAAAAGGGTATTCAATATCTTGCGTCAGAATAGAGAAAAACAGTCGGTCCAAGTTGATAATTTTCAATTTGAAAGTAGTGCTGATTGCGAATCCTTTGGATAATGGAGAACAAAATTTCAAGCATGTCAAGTTTGACTAGACCAAATAGAATTGATAATACAGGTGAAGAAGGTTTCAAAAAGAGTGGAAAGAGGCAAATGGGACCCAATAATAGCACTATTGTCGTGTCTGTTAGAAGACAATTCCTGACAAAAACACGCTTGATCTGGGAAAAATCGCAAGTAGTTTTATCTCGAGTATTTGAATGTTTAATGACTATAAATGTCCAAGTTATAGGTGAGGGTCAACGAACCACTTTCGTGATAAGAAACATTCCAAATAATTATAATCAGGTAAATAAGTAGTCGCGTATTCCAATTATCAATTACAAACGTTGATCATTATAGTGTTCTTAGCGGATGTTGCTTGAGACTCTTGACGAGACTCATAAGAGTCAATATGACTTTTTCTATTTGCGGATGGACTTAAAAACTGATGTAATGTCGGTTATGTATTCATTAATTTTGTAAGATTTGCTCCGTGATTATGTATTTTCTCGTAAAGAACTCCCGCTTTATAATCTATAATAATTCCCTGTTTCAAAAGGATAGTGCTGTCTCGGGTTGGAAAGAGATGGAGTAAGTTCAACTCCGAGAAAGTATGTGAACTTGCTTACACCAATATTCAAGGCAAGAAAGCTTGGTCGAAAAATTTCGGAACAGCGGGTGACTATTCTTTTTTATTGCTTTAATATCTCTTGCAGCATAATATTAACCGGTCCGGTTTGATTTTTCCTAATAGTGTCATGGGTGAGCTGCCTGAATACCCACCCACCCAAAATTTTCTTCTCTTCTGGTACGTTGTGCAGCCAGAAACAACTGTCTCCCGAGCCAAAAAAAACCATCAAAAGAAAGTAGGTCTTTGGCTGCTCACGTTGGCATTACCAGCTCTCCGAATAGCACTGCTTGAGGTGATGACGTAGTGATTATTAGATGTAAAATTTTATATAAAATTTTATACATATAGATGATAAATGTTGTGACTTATAAAAAGTCATCAAATGTCAGTTTAAATTCAATTTGCGAATTTTTGAGATATAATTTCGATACCACTCGATTTCCATATCAGTGGCGATCGTTAGTCCAGACATCGCATCCGAAAGCCCGTTATTGTTAGTTTGCAATATCTCGGTATCCAGTTGACCGATCGAATACATTTGATCCTCACATCGAGGTATTAAAAATTATTACGATTTTTGTTATTAGGTACAAAGATATTCGCATAAATATAAAATGTGGTTCAAGGTTACCGCATGTTTGAAGATTTTTAATTCACAATGGTATCCATAAATTCAATTTTTCTTATTGTTCTCTAAATGCATGATGTTAAAAAGTTGGCCCAAGCAAGTTGCATTTAGAGAGATCTGACTGTATTAATGCAACTTGTTTGAGGAATTTCATGCTAATAAGTTCTCTTGAAATTGCATTTTCTTTAATTTGTTCTTTTTTTTTAAGATATAGTAAATCTAAATATGAAAATAATATTGGTAAGAAACTGATTGTAATTTTTAATACAAATTAATGCATTTGATTGCGCATTTATTAAATTTTTCTAGTTTGATATATTTAATAAATAAATTTATTATAATACTATTACAAGCTATTACTATGAAGGTAGATTTTACTCGAGATATAGCTTATAATAAGTTTTGAGGGCTAAGACTGAATTATTTATAACATTGAGTGAGATCAAGATTATTCTAAAGGTTTTCATGTGCCAATACTTACGAGTATTGTTTTTAAATTCATAAAAATAAAGAAGAGAATATGTGCAAAATAAAAAGTGGTACCAAAAACTAAATTACAAATCAAATACTAAAAACTATAACAAAAGATTTAGTATGCTGACTAAACCCTCTTTCAGTATTATTTCAACTGAAAGGCACAAATAAAAATAAACAAAAGATTAAGTATGCTCACTTAATCCTCTTTCAGTATCATTTTAACTGAAAGATAAAAATAATAAAAACAAAAGAATATGGCTTATTTAAAGTAGAGATCTTCTACTACTCATGTTTTTAAGACAAGAAAAACAAGTATTAACCAGATATAATCCATTATGATAAAAAAGATAAATGAAAGCAATAATTAAAAAGATTAAAGTATTTCAAGTATATTTATTTAATATTTGAGAGCAGAGTTATTTATACATATTTAAAGTTATATAAGTTTGTTGGAACTTTGCTGGAAACTTGCTAGTAACTATATTATATAATTATAAGTATGAAATAAAGACTAAATATTGTGCTAAATACTAACAAATAATATCTAAAGGTGAAGTATATGTCAAGACTTAAAACATAATACAAATGATGAAATTAATAATAATAAATGAGATTAAATAATAATAAATGAAATTCATGATAAATATACTAAAATTAAAAATTAAGAAAATGATCTATAAAATTAAGATAATTTATGAAATTAAGAAATTAAAGAAATTAAGAAATTAAAGAATTTTATATTATTATGATAATAATACTTTTTATATTTTCAAATGCTTTATTAAGTAAGAAACTTTATAAGATTATATTAAAGAGTTTTTTATAATAATCAAAGTTTTTTCTCTCATACTTTCTTTTTTATAAGCATTTTATTTAATAGAGATTTTATTATTATATGAGCTATAATTACTTTATTACTTACTTTTTTTAACTTATAAATGATATAATCTTTTTTATCAAATCCTTTCAAGCAAAATAAAAATAAGTTAAATATAAATAATACTAATAATTAAAAAGAAAATAGCTAAATGTTTGCTTCTTTTTTTATTAAAAATAAAATTAAAATAACTACTAATTATAATTCAAATAATTTTTAATATAAAAAAATAATTAATTTTATTAATATTATCATGATATAGAATAAAGTTATCAAATAAATATATATTGTAACTTTAATAAAATTAATTTATTATTAAAATTAAAATTATTACTTTTACAATATTTAAAAATATTTATTATATTTAATATTTTATATTACTATATATTTAAATTAATATAAAATTAATAAAATCACTAAGTTTTGATTTTTATTTTTATTATTATAATTATATTTTAAGTTTAATTATTAGAAAATTTGAAATTAATTTTTAATAATTAATTATTTTTAATTATGACAAATTAAATTAAAATAAAATATCTTAATAATTATTATAATTTATAATATAAAAGAATTATATCAGTAATTTTATATAGTATTTAGTTATATAAATATTATTACAAGATTAATTTGTATTTTATATTTCAAAATTATTATTATTTTTAAAAAATCATTATTTAATCATAAGAAATTATGTTAATTTTGACCAAATAATTTATAAAATCTGTATAATTTTGGCCAAAAATTTCATTTTAATCTGTAATAATCAATAATTTTTATTAAGAATCATTTTTTTAGTGTTTTATTAGATATATAATTAAATTTTATTATAGTCACGTGGCTTAAGCCTGAACTATAACTTAATTTCTTTAATTTAAGATTACATGATTTGGTTTAATTAAATAATATTTTTTATGATACTCCAAAGTCACAAGCCGAAGATAATAAATATTTCATAGAAAAATTTTTTTATAGAAGACACTTCCAATTACTCTTCCGAAGAGTAGCGAGGCATTCTCGAAGAACGAAGTGTCACATAAAAGAATTCAAAGAATTCAAACTTCTTATGATAGACACAAATTTCCTTAATTATGTCTAGCATTTACTTATAAGTTAATCATAGTATTACAATGTATGGTGCGGGACCTGTGAATATCACATTTAATAGGACTACACGACTTAAGCCACATAATTTATCAAAATTTTGCATGTTTGTCGAAATTTAATCAAAATAACCGAAATAATGTACATTAAAACGAACGCATAATTTATTTTTATTGTATGCATAATTGATAATTTTATTGCCGCATAAAATCATTGTCCATGCTCTTTTTTGTGTAAATCATGTGACTTGTGGAATGACAACGTAGATCGCATCAAATGCTATCGTTTTTTTTAAAACGACGTGACTTTTTTTGTTGCTGCATTTCCCGCCAAAATGTCTAGCAACAAATACAGCACGCTTCCCGATATAGTGAGTTCTTTAAATTGCTACGATACAATTTACCTAGTTACTTTTTGAAATAAAGCTTTTCTTATTTCCATTTAAATGTTGATAGGATACACAGCCAGATGTTTACGAGACACCTGATAACGAGGAGCCTGAAACTTCAGACGATGGGGTATAAAATAAATTTCTCAATTTTGTAGTTTAAGATATACAATAATTCGCAGTTTAGACATAATTTGCGTAATTTTAGTATAACCTTATAGAAGAGGTTAATGAGGACATTGTAAGGGACAAAATTTCTATGAATGATGCGGTTGGCAAGTTTAAGGACAGTATCGTTGATTCCTCAGAAACAGGTAAATTATTTTGATTTTTATTGCCTTTAATTTTTCCTGTTAATTAATCTTTAGCCTTTCTATCGATAAGATTTTTCTGATAGATTATCTCGCCATACAAAGCAAATGTACAAAATTTCCTCCAGAAAACCTTTGGACATATCAGAATATGAAATATTGCCAAGAGAACAAGCATCACAGGAGACACCTCCTCAGAAATTACAAAGATTAATGTATGAAGTTCGAGAGCTCAGAGAACAAGTTGAAAACAATAAGGTTATTATATATTAGAATTCCTAACAATGTATTTTATGCTAATTATAAAATTCTCTTTATGCTAGGATGATCCAACTGTTGCGCAAATTTCCCATGGCGGCATGATCTCTCAGATAGATCATTTGCAAAATGATCTCGATCGTATTAGTCAGGGTCTGGGTGATCTTCCTTTAGATGAACAAGATGGCACTATAATTCGACAAGCTGAATTAGGTAAAAGGTTAATTCATCAATTGGAAACATTTAAAAATATTGGATTTCCCAAAGAAGATGATGAGAAAGATGCGACCGCGGATGATGATACTACAGTACAAGCGTCAAGCGTAGACAGCGGGAAGAATGTATGCTCATTTATTCGTTTTAATAACGTAACACAGGTTTATCGATATTAAGTTAAATTAATTTTTCTTTTAGGTTGTCACTTACGAACTTTATTATTCTCCGGAAACTATAAAAACACACGCTTTAGCTAAAACAGCGGAGCTTGATGAACGCATTTCTGTACTAGAAAAAGTTCTGGGCACATCACATGGACAAAACTTTGATGATCTTGTAAGATTAAATTGCTTAATCATACAAAGAATTTTCGATACAATTTTTTTAACAAATATTTTTTTTCTTAAAGTTGCTTTCTATACCAAATGCAAACCTAATCATGTCAGTCGAAAAGCTTGAACAACATATGCAACTCCTTATTCAGCCGCGTCATTTAGAGTCGATTACAAGGAAAGTCAAGACATTAACATCAGAATTAGAGAAAGTGAATGATTTGAAAAATAAAGAACTCTCCAATGGTGGTGTTATTCCATTTGAAACGGGAGAAAAGGTTTTTTATTAATCATTCTGTTGTCATATCATGTTATGTTGAATCAATTTCTTGAATAATCATTTTTTTTTATCGACTTCATTGCCAGGTGGATCGTCTTTTTGGTCTCCTCGATAAAATTGATCCTTTGATCGCATTAGCGCCAGCTCTTGTTAATAGATTGAAATCTTTGCAACAATTGCATAATGAAGCTGCTGTGTTTAATGATACTATAAAAATGCTGGTTGGGGAACAGAGTAAAATTGGAGATGAGCTCAAAAATTTGAATGATGTAGCAGGAAAGGTAAGAAAAAATGTGCATAATTTGTGTGTTGTTACTTTTGTGTGCGAGTTAAATTAATTTCTATTTCCTCACAGCTCAAAACATCCATAAAAGAAAACGATGAGTTGATTTATAAGAATATTGAGAAAGTCGAGGCCCGTGTTTCGGACCTTGCTCAGAGACTTGATAAAGTATTAGTAGGTCATTAAAATATATGATAAATTTTTTTCCTCTCATCTACCTCCTTAGGGAGATAATTTTACTATATATCATGGAAACATTCTCTTGATTAACCGAGTGCTTACAATCTATAAAATGTTTTTTATGAATGTCAGTGTATACTAGATGTAATTTTATTTATATATTATGCATTAATAAATATATTTGGTGATAATGTCGTCGATTAAAAACATGTTTAGTTTGGTAATAGTCCATACAAAAATAAATTTTAACCTGAGAACGAATTTTGCAAGATTCTCTAGAAAATGTTATTCTCCTCATTTGATACGAAGTGTCTCAGATATAGCTCATGGTAATCCTATCTTTTATACAAGTAACTCTACTTCTGCATTTACTGATTGTTCGTCTATTTCCAGAACGCAAACCATTATTTGACAAGATATTAATAGCCAACCGGTAAGAATTATTATCGCGTAGAAAGCTTTTTTTATTCGGTAAAATTTGACCTTTTAAAAATAGTGGAGAAATTGCATGTCGCGTAATTCGAACGGCTAAAGCATTAGGCATTAAAACAGTCGCGGTGTACAGTGAAGCCGATAGGAAAGCTCGTCATGTCAAATTGGTTAGTGGAGGTTGATTTAATTGATAAAGTATAAAAACAACTATTCATCCGAAATAAATTTTTAGTCTGATGAAGCCTACCTGATAGGGCCTTCCCCTTCAAGGGAAAGTTATTTAAATATTGAAAAAATAATTTCTGTAGCTAAAAGAAGCGGCGCCCAGGTATTATTTTAATAAGTGAAAATAAACGTGATTTGGATTTGTTCAATTAGAATATTAAATATTTTTCAGGCTATTCATCCAGGATATGGATTTTTATCCGAGAATCCTTTGTTTGCCGAGCGTTTATCAATCGAAAATATTACATTCATTGGCCCACCAGCTTCTGCCATTATATCAATGGGTTCAAAAAGGTTATTGTCGCGTGCTTAAAAATAATCATCTTAAAATAATTCATATCAATAGGAAAATTTTGCTTTGATAGTGAATCCAAGGAAATCATGACTGCCGCTAGTGTTCCTGTAGTACCAGGTTATCATGGTTCAAATCAAGACCCTGCTTTTCTCAAAGACAAAGCTGCCGAAATAGGTTATCCGGTTCTAATAAAAGCAATTAAGGGTGGTGGCGGCAAAGGCATGCGAATTGTCAACGATCCATCTGAATTTGATCTTCAACTCGAATCTTCCAAGCAGGAAGCAATCAAATCTTTTGGTGATGATCAAGTTCTTATTGAGAAATATATCCTCACACCTCGTCATATAGAGGTGCAGGTTTTTGGAGACATGTATGGAAATGCAGTATATCTTTTTGAAAGAGATTGCTCTGTGCAAAGAAGACACCAAAAGATTCTTGAGGAAGCTCCTGCTCCCGGATTGAGTGAAGAACTAAGAAACGAATTAGGGCAAAAAGCAGTGACCGCTGCCAAGGCTGTCAATTATGTTGGTGCTGGAACAGTGGAATTTATTTTTGATAACGAAACTCAGCAATTTTATTTTATGGAAATGAATACTCGACTTCAAGTTGAACATCCAGTAACGGAGATGGTGACCAATACTGATTTAGTTCAATGGCAATTAGAGGTATTTATACTTCAAATTTTCTTTCACATTAGATAGTATTCAACATAGATAAATAACTAATTGATTTAGGTTGCTGCTGGTAATAAATTGCCTCTCACGCAAAATGATTTGCGCCTTGATGGACATGCTTTTGAAGCACGTATATATGCAGAAAATCCTGATAAGTAAGAATTTTCTTATGATCGAGTTACTATTTTTGGCACGTTATTTTTCTCATTTATCGATATATCTGACATTTTGATTTAACAGTAATTTCTTGCCTGATATTGGCCCTCTTATTCATTTACATACCCCTCAGTCTTCATCCACTGTTCGTTTGGAAACTGGGTTTGAACAAGGTGATGAAATAAGCGTACACTATGACCCTATGATTGCAAAGTTAATTGTTAAAGGGGTTGATCGTACTGAGGCACTTAGGATTTTGAGAAAAGCTCTAAATGATTATGAGGTATGTATTATTATTAAGTCTAGATTTATAAAATTGCAATTATTTAATAAATACCAGTTAAAATTTTCATCAAGGTTGTTGGCCTGCATACAAATATTGAATTTCTGAAAAAACTTTCATCTCATCCTGCCTTTATTGCTGAAGAATTGGAAACAGGATTCATTGAAGTAGTATTTTGATTTTTAAACGTTCTTTAAGTCGACGATAGATTAAATGAAAATCAATCATATTAGAAATATAGGGCAGATTTATTCACATCGATAAGTCGCACTAATCCACTCATCTTGGCGCAAGCTGCCATTTCATTAGCTTTAATTGAATTAAAAAAACAACAATCAAGAATTTCGGAAACTTTTGGTATATATATATATATATTGATTTTTTACAAAATTGTTTCATGTTTAATTAACTTTATTATTATCACTATTAATGAAATTAGATCCTTTTTCTCCATGGTCAACACTTGTTTGCGCTAGATTGAATACAGTGCACACGAGACACATTTCTTTGTCCGATTCTAATGAATCTGAATCGATTGTGGAAATACAATTCAAATCCAATGGCACATTTGATGTTAAAGTAAATCAAAGTGGAGAAACTTTATCTATATTTACAGGAGTAATGGCTAAATGGAATGAAGCTCAAAAACAAATAATTCTTGATATTGATGATCGAAAATTATGTAGTCGCGTTATTTTAGACAAGAATCAGGTGGTCATTTTTGGCGAGGTTAGTTAATTTTTATAAGCTCTTAAATTTAATAGTTTCATAAGTCATAAACGCGTATTTAAATAGCACGGAAGAGCAGTGCTACAAATTCCAACGCCAGCTTATTTAAGTGCAGTAACCTCAGACGTTGTAGGCTCTATTAAAACTCCGATGCCTTGTAAAATATCTCAGGTAACTGGATGGTATTATTTGAGTCAGCTACTTTGAATGTCTTATTAACAAATTCATTTATTTATATAATAGATATTTGTAACAGTTGGTCAAGTAGTCGAAAAAGGAGCACCGCTTATAGTTTTGGAGGCAATGAAAATGGAGGTAAATAATTTCTGCTCATTATTAATTTAATAATTCTACAAACAATTAATCGCGAAATTTTTATTATTTTATTATATTAAGCACCTTATTAAATCACCATTTCCTGGTAAAATTGAAAAAATATTCTATAAAGTTGGAGATCTTGTTGAAGAAAACAAAAACCTTGTAGCTTTTGCAGAATAAGCCAATGCACGTAAATTAGATAAATTAGATCTAGATTTTGAAAATTATTATTTAACTATACAGTCGAAGCTGGATTATTTAAAACATCATGTCTACACCTTGAGCTGGGAACAAATATCCTACCCAAAGTTATGTAACTCGAAGAAATAAAGTTGATCTAACAGATGATCAATGCGCACTCAAATTTGTCATTTAGAACAACCAAATTGTTGGATGAAAACAAAATTATACCAATAAAATGTAATAGCCATAAAACATTATCGCTTTAGAATTTTATTATCAAAATGCCAGTAAGCGGAACCATCGAATTTAATAGAAACAACATTAATTCTGAATTAAGGCATTTGGATCTTGTTGCATGAATATATCGTATATTTTCTTTGAAAGAGGTTTATTAATGAAACGATGAGAATGCCCCAGTTCCGCATTTGCAATCTTAATATTTTGTTAAGATTAGTAATAAGTTAAAGGATTGCGAGATTGAAATTACTATAAAAGATACCTCTATTTTTGAAAGTAGTAATTCTCCTTCTTCGATTGTACGACATTTAAAATATGCCGCATAAAAAGATTTGATCGTTGGGTATTTACGTACAATGGCTGAAGCTACGGGCACCGTCACTGCTGGGATTGCTTGAAGTGTTCGCTGCCAAGTATCAGCTTCATCGGTTCCAGATCGAATCGCGTTTTCGACACAGAAATTCAAACCTTCATTTAAATTCCTTTAAAAAGTATTACAAATTAAGTCTGGCAATAAAATTCTTAACAAATGCAAGAATAGAATTGCGACGCGTACTTGTATGGATTTCTTGCAATATCACCAGTGAGTGTGCAAATTTTCTTACTCGATTCATCCACGTTTTTGGCGTGAACGATCAAGCATTCGGTATTCACCTGCAGCCAGATGAGATCATCCTCAATTTTATCTTCATTAGGACCATGTTCATCTGTTTTGTTTTTATTCTTTTTAGCGGTAACGGGGCCACCTTCGATTCCCAAACGCACAGCTTCATTAAATATACGATTTTGCTGCGTTCTCTTTTTTCGACAATATTCTTCCTGCCCCTCAATTAGATAAATCAATTGTTTATTAGGAAAACTACCCTTCAATGCTATATAATGAGACTGTAATGCGTTGGTTTCTATCAAGTTGCATAATTCAGCAATCGGCAAATAGTATAATACATGTTGTTCTTCTTTGATATATTCCGGGACAGGTATATAAGCATTGGATTCTTCTTTCCATTCTGCTTTGACTTTACGCCGCCAGCTGATGGTATTAGCAACATTTGTGGACACAATATTAAAGCTCACTGACATTTCTTCAAATATATTACTCAATAGAGGCCCTAAAGGTTGTGCCATTAATTTACTCTCTACATCTACTATGATTTCTTTGATCGCTTCTAATTTATCGGTTTTACGCTTATTTGCTTCTTGCAATTCTTTGATTCTTGCTCTTTCTGCTGCGCCCTCTTCCTATTTTTATTGGAACAAACTGTAGGTTAAAAATCATATAATCCATTGCATTAAATGTATATTATAAATTTACAAACCTTGACTCTTTGTCGTTCTAATCTTAGTTCTTTTTTACGTTGCTATATTAGCCCGATAGTGAAAATCAGCAAAAAATAAGAAATAAATAATCGACTTTATATGCTGACCTTTTCTAAATTTTCTGCGGTTTTCGATTTTAAGGTCTTATTGTTAACTTCAGATTCTTTAACAATCTTTCTTTTTCTTCCCCTTGTTTCTCTTTTCGTAGGTTTTTTTTCCGTAATTTTCAACGAAGTTTCTTCTGTAGGCGATGAAACAAGCTTTGCAGGTTCCTTTGATATGTCGTCAACCTCAATAGCTGTATTCTTGCATTCGATTCTAATTTGAACTTCTTTTGCAGATCCGGTCGTTTCATCGTTGACCCGATTATTTGTATTTAAACATTCAATTGTGTTATGAGCATTTACTTGATCCATAAGTCCAGATAATATGGCACTATTATTTTTCTCGGAATCACTCGTCTTATTTAAACGATCCGAAGGATATTCAAGATCTAAGAATGAATCGTAATCACGCTCCTTTTGTGGAATAGGCGAATAAGGGAATGAAAATCTGAAATTGCTAGCATTGTCTTGCATCGAACACAAAGAAGAGATGGAACAGTTTGGATTCTTCGAATCGAATCTTGGCTTTTGAATAAAGTTAGAGAGACAACAATTAATATATTTAATTTATAGAGATGTTCCATTAAATTATTACCATGATTTCTTGATCAACAAAATTGGTGTTCGGATTTCTGAAAAAGCAAAATCACATTAAAATTACGCATGTTTAATATTCAAAATAAATTAAAACTTGCATTGGTATAGCTGTAGGGATATACGGGACAGCATTCACAAACTGTGGAACCCCATAAGTAGGAACCGGATTTTGCATCACTGAAAGAGGCCCTTCAGAAGGATCCAGCAAGGTTCCTTGCAAGAACTTGACATTAAAATATAATTAAAGTAAGTCATTCTAAAGGTAAATCACAAAAAGAGGCTGTAACTTACAGTTCCGTCAAGTATTCTAGCAATGGTTGCTTCAACATTAAGCGTTTTTTGCAAATCAATTAATATTTCTTGCAACGGGCGTTCCGGTAAAACACCCTGAACTTTATAAGCCATAGCAAGCAATTCTTCCTCTTTGTTCTCCATTATAAAAGCTGCCAAAAGTTTGAGTGTGAATTCAAATTTTTTTTCTGTATTATTATGACGTCACCTGTCATTTATTTGGCACGTGGGTTAGGGTCGAACCCAGCAAAATTCGGAATCAAAAGAAATAGGATTATATGTAAATGTCATTTATTTACGCGTAATTTTGAATCAGTCTAATTGATGTCATTTATTTACGCGTAATTAACCTAAATTGATGATCATATATCGTGCATGTAGTTTATTAAATCAATTTACTAATTTCCTATTTAGGGACCATTCAAATATTATGATTCCCAATCGGTTTATTTACTTTGAAAAATATATGTTTACTTTTGTGGAAATTAGACTGATTTGTGGAATCACAGAGCCTTTACTGTCGATGTCGATATATATTGATATAAATGTTAATTACGCTGGATGTTTCAAATATCGTAAATGAATTTATATATTTGAATGATCTAATAATAAAGGTTCAACGTTAAATAACTTGCAAAAAGAGGTTTGGGACAATTTATAAAGCAGGATGGACGAATTTACAAAGCAAATAAATTTCAACGAAGTAGAGAAACTGAAGTTGCGTTGAAATCATTACATAATTCAAAATAGATTATTCCGGAGTTTATAAATGGGTAAAAATTGATATTTAAAATGATTCAGAATGTAGTAATATGTCGCTATTGCTTTTCCGTTTAAGATATCAAGGAATAACTAAAAACCCAATACTTCAATGCGTAGTAATGAATACGGAATAACTAAAACCCCAATTACAAATGAAATACTTCAATGCGTAGTAATGAATATGGAATGAATTATGGCGATCTTCGCAAATATATTAATCAAAGAATTGACTTGGCGCGGAAATATAAAAAATATATAAATGTTGAACCGGGGTTATCCGGATAACTCATATGACCTGTAATCGGGTGGATGATTCGGCGATTAAATTTAGTATTAAGAAAATGATTAAATGCACGTGGTTACTTATTGAACAAGTGTACCAAAATGTCGACGCGGTCTAGAAAAATGAAAAATGTATATAGTTTGTCCAAGTTGCTTTTTCATATTATAATATTTATTATTTCAGATTGATCTCAATTAGTTATTCTTTATTAACAGAAAGTTAAAAATAAAATTAATGGGAAGAATACTATAATTAAAGAAAAAACCCTTTTGTATCAAAAGAAGAGAAGACAAGATAACAATGAGGATTATTTTAATAAAAATCAAAAGAAACTAAAATTAACGTAAATGTTTTATTTACCTGATCTAATATATTTCATAAAATACTAATTAATCTTATAAAAATAGGAATGATTCCGAATCCAAAGTAGCAGTGACAAAGTTCATCAAGAAGAATGAATTATGGTTTGACGATGTTAAAAAAGAAGACTTAGATTTAGTAAATGCTCAAAAAGAGTTTGCAGAGAATGCAAAGAACAAGATCAATAATAGTCATTACGATAAACATAATTGCAGAAACAAGTAAGTGGTTAAATTAACAAGTATGATTATATGATATTTGATTTATGGTTATTGATAAAATATTTTCCCCCGCCCCCAAAAAAAAGGATTGGTAAATACATTGCGATGGATTGTGAAATGGTCGGGGTTGGTCCTGATGGGTTGGAATCAGCACTCGCACGTGTTAGCATTGTTAATTTTCATGGGGTGGTTATTTTGGATAAATACGTCCGTCCAATTGAACGTATTACAGATTTCAGAACACCCATTAGTGGAATTACCCCAAAATTGCTTGTTAATGGTAAGCGAAAAGTTCATGAGAGTTGACCCGACTCCCAAAACGATCTAATTTTGGTAACATCGGTTGTGTAATCAATTTTCTCATGTGTTAAATTATTGTTAAAGCTCATACTTTTAAGGAAGTTCAAAAAGAAGTTGCAGAAATAATAAAAGATCGTATAATTGTTGGACATTCAATTCATTATGATTTTCAGGTAAAAAGAAATAATCTTACATTTATTTGATTCTTTAGCGATGAATTTTATTAATTTCTTTGATTTGACAAAAGGCATTGCTACTAGATCATCCACATAGAATGATACGTGACACTTCTCTATATGCACCGTTAAGACAGCATGCACGAGGTAAAACACCTTCCTTAAAAAAATTAGCTCAAGAAGAACTTGGTTTGATAATACAGCAAGGGGAGCATTCGTCAGTATGTAATTAATTGGCGTCGTTATTTAATTTGGTTTGGTGCTATATTAATCTATCAATCGTATTTCCATAAAGGTAGAGGATGCACAAGTTTGCATGCTACTCTTTCGAAAACATAAGAAGGAATGGGAGAAGAAATTCTTATCGAAACCTACAAAATCAAACGTTACGAAATAATCTGATTCTAGATGATTTTAAGCATGAAAAATAAAATGCATTTTTAAATTCGAGTACGGATTTCATTCGAACTATGCCAAAACAAAAAATTATAATATCTCGTGTTTTCTTCCTCCAAAGAAATATTTCTTTACCTTTGCAAGGCGTTTTCATATGTAGCATATGCACAGACTAACCAATTATTCAGGGTTCCACAGTCGAATTGAGACAAAGTTTACAGAGAACACAAGTCTAAAATTTCATGTAAATAGAAAAAGGCAAATTAATATGCTGTGACTGTGTAACGATCAATGAACTCATCATAACCACGTTCTCGGGACAAATATTTCCTCGTTATTGTGATACAAAAGATTTGTGTAAATAACTTTCACGAACTTTGTTACCCATTCTTTATCTCCCCCCTTAAAACATAAAATCGTGGCTTTTTTCATTCCTTTTTTATAACAAGTTACTCAGACAACCAAACATAAATTGAATAGTATTTTTAGAAAGTTAATACAGTATATCAATATCAATTCAAATTTTTAACTGAATAGCTTTTTATAAGAAATATATTGAGCCTGTAACTTCACACCTCAATTCGTAACCTTTAGCAAAGAAAGAACCCCTTTATAATATCTAACACACTTATTAAAACACTTGTACATTAAGTAGATGATGAATAAAGATCATGGGGTTCCATCCCCTCCGCGATCCCCCAGAGCTCCACGCACTACCTCAACTCAACGAAAACCCAGAGTTACTAGCGCAGCTAAACTCGATCTTACACAAACAAAACCACAAATTACGCGAAGTAATACCCTTCCACCCCCTCCTGTACATTATTTTGCAAAAATCTCACGAAATAACACAGCAAATGGGTTGCCAGACAAGGAGAAATCAAGGTCTGACGACGGCTTTCACTCTGATTCCGATAAAGATAGTAATAATTCAAATATAAGTGTACATAGTAGTATAAGTCATCTTAATAGAACATCCAATCTTTTAAAAATGGACCCTATTGCGCGAGTGCGCTCCTCTTCTTCTCTTAATAACTTATCGGAAACTGCTAAAATTGATAGCCTTAAGCTCGCAAATGTGCCCACAAATCGGAAATCTCAATCAGATGTGTCCGCAAATCGGCAATCTCAATCAGGACAGCAAGCAGGCGAGGCAAGAAAAGAAAGAAAGGTAAATTTCAAATTCTGATTAAGTTAATATTTAGCTAGAATGATAATTCTTATCAAATATATCCTCGTTGCATCGTCATTTCTTAATTATTTCAATATATGGGAATTTTGTTAGTTCAAAATTGACATTGTTGAATTAGCTATTCCCCGAATAATTTAGCGAAGATATAATGCTCCTAAGTTTTTAAAGATCTTTGTTCATATTTATAGATACAAGATTTGGAAATCTCCATACAATCATTAATCAAATTAAATACTGAATTGGACGCCACCAATAAACAACAAGCTGCTGAAATTGAAAGATTAAAACAGAGACTTGAAATGTAGGTTATATCATTGATAGGTGATTCTGTTTAATAATCAAATTCATTAATTATTTTTATATACACTAGGCATGAAAGTTATATTTCAGGTATTAATGCGACAGATGACGAGGATGAAGACGACAATGAAGTTTCAACCCCACTATCTGATGTATGTGCGTGTATGCTTTCTTTTAATCTAAACCAATGAGTATTAACATATTTGAAAATAAATTTACTCAATTTTATGAAACCAAAAGGTTGAGTTTCTAGAACGAGCAAGAGAAAACGATATCAGATTTCGACGGATACTTATAGTAATAGATGAAATGATAAGGACAGGAACAGCGGCAATCGAAAGCACACCAAAATTAAATGGTAGTCGAGTACTGTCTACTCCTCAAATAGGTATTTGATTATATTTTGATACAGCTAAAAGATTTATTTAGGATTACTCAAATTTCAGAATATGTTAATTATGAATAACTAATTAGCTTCCTTCTAGAAATGAATCTAATTCATATGCATATCATTGTTCTCATCAGGATTAAATCAAGTGCAACGAACCTCATCTTCACGAGGAAAATCAACTGATACAATAAATACGAATATATTTAATGCAGAAGAGGAATTACTTAAAGTTGAATTGGTCCCCGATGATAAACTCATTAAGTTGAAAAAATCAGAAACACAGTCAGAACAAAAATGGAATAATAATCATCATCTAACAAAAGACAATATAATTTTGAACGTTGAAAGCCCGCCGGGCGATCATCGAATTTATCCAGAGAAAACAAAAGAAACAAAGGAACCATATTCATCAGAGAATGAGCTAAAATCAAATTTATCTACCATGAATCCTGAAACCAAAATAAAAGTAGGCGAAAGTATTGGCGAACAATTGGAAATTAATAAGGATCGAGTTCGAGCTGTGATTGATGAACTTTTGATACTTGCTAAGCAAGATCATTTCCATAACAAAGCTCCGGTCACATCTCCTGTAAAGGAAAGGCCGGGTCTTGGAATATTACTTCATAATCAAAGAGGACAATCAACACATCTATCTCCCAGCATTAATATTAATGAAACTGATGATGCAAAACAAAATTCATCTGCCGTTTCGCTTCTATATGAACTTCAAGATCTATTGGGACTGACCTCGTTTGCAGAATCTTCCAAACTCACGAAATACAATCGGAACAGCTTTCCTGTGATGTCATCGAGTCATATAAACTTCAATGTTGACCCGCCAGATGATAAGGAGGAACTTCTTGATCCAAATCAAAAAACCACTACTTCTCGAAATCGTCGACGATCTTCTAAAGAACGAATTATACGCCGCCGATCCTCACCAAGTTTTAGTACTCCCTCATCAAATACCGTAAACGAAAGTCATATCAATAATTCTATCAATTTAATACCAGGGTTAGCCAGGCATACCTCTTGGGTTTCTTCCTTAGGATTTTTAACTCCCTGGAAAGCCGCCACTACTGCTGCTATCGAATAAAAAATCATTGTCTATTTCTGCTTTTTTTTGTTAATAAATGTGACAAAAGGGCAAATGGGTCAAAGGCGAAGACTGATCAAAAAAGATCAGACTTGTTTATTGGTTGGTTGATTGTTAAATTTGTTAATATGAACTTTGTTAATATGAACTTAAAATATACAAATAGAATAATATTCGGAGTTACAATTAATTTTTAATTTGTTTTAATTAATTTTTTATATTACTTTGGCTAATAATCAACTATAATAAACGAGAAATTTTCTCACTTGGACAAGGTCAATACAGAGATGATAAGGAGTGTGACAAATATTACATATATCCTTGGGGTATTTGACACATGTTATTAATACATGTTTTAAATATCTTACCTCGGGGTGAGGAATACTCAATAGTAAAATTATTACGTAATATCTGTGACTCTTCTAAGACATGAGGTCATTAATTGATCAATACTGCGTATGACCAGGAATGTATTTAGGGGACTAGATCACGCGATTAAATCAGATTAGAAATTAGTTCAATTAATAATTAGAACACTTGAGAATTTTTTACTAACGCTAAGGGGACAGACATATATCACGTAATTATTAAAGGGGAAGGATCTCAAAAACTCTCACCTTCCACATGATCAAAATAATTAGCCAATCAAATATAATAAAAATCTCATAGAGGGAAAGTACACACCCCTACAATATATTACCGGAAATCCTAAAAACGAATCTGCCACTTTGAAATCCAATATCTCAAAATTCAATGATCCAATTTAAATGAAAATACTCCATTAAATTTGTCGCGACTCCACGAATCTTATGATAATATCTTTATTTAAATGAGATCACTAGATTACAAGAAATTGGGTTCCAAAATGATAGTTTCATTTTTGAAATTTCCGGTAATATATTGTGGGGGTGTGTAGTAACTACATATTACGTGATATATGTCTGTCCCCTAATATTAACTAATATTTTTTATTTTTAGCTCAAAATAAAGCTAGTGTTCTCTAACATATATTTTTTTCTGAATAAGAAATTCTAATTGCATATAAAGTAAATTAATTCTTATTAATTAACTTTACATATATAATTAAGTACATCTCTCTTGAAACTATAGTAAAAAAAATAAAAAGTGTGCATTTAGAGAGGGTGTGCATTTATAGAGGTCAAATATATAAAGCTCTTATAAGCTGGAACCAGAGTATATCATGCATTTAGAGAGGAGTTATATAGTATATGCATTTAGGAAGGATGCACTTAAAGAGATGTAACTGTATTTGAAATTGCTTATTCAGAAATATTAGAAAAAATATATATTAAAATAAAGAACTTTAGCTTTATTTTAGTTAAAAAATAAAAATATTTATTAGTAAAATCAAAAACTTTATACTAATTATAATTAGTAAAAATTCAAATATTATATTACTTTAATATTTATTATAATTTGATATAAAAAACTTTGTATATTAATATAAAAATTACTAATAAAAATCATTCAAATTTTAAATAATCTTTATAATTTTTCTATATTAAATAAAAAATAATCTAAATTAATTTTTTATATTATTTTAATTATTTATTATACTTTAATTTAATAATAAATAAAGTATTACTTTATTAAAAGAACTAAAATAAAATTATTTTTTTTAAAAAAAAAGATATTTTAAATATTATTACTATCAATTTTAATGTTAGAACTTTAAATTATGCAAACAAATTATTTTAGATTTGATAAATTATATTTTAAATTTTATAAAAATTAAATCATAATTATAAAAATATTAAGATTTAAAGTTCAATAATTAAATTATTTATTATATAATATTTATATTAATTTTATTTAAATTTTATATAATAAAATTTAAGAAATAATAATTAAAAAAGATATTATTAGTAAAAATTTTTTATAAAAGATATATAATAAAAATTTTTATATTTAAATAAATTTGGGTAATTAATATCTTAATTAAATAAAATAGAATTAAAATTATTTTAAAAAAATAATTTATTAATATTTATTTGAGATATAATCTTAATTTTTTAATATTTATAAAGAAAATCAAAATTATTATTAAATAATATAAATATATTAAATTATATTATTTAAATATAATAATAATTAAAGATAATATTATTATAAATTATATTTAAAAATATAAATATTATAATTTATAATAATAAGATAAAATATAAATTAAATTATTTATAATATTAAGTAGAATTAAAATTATTTAAAAGATTTTTTAATATTAATATTTATAAATATTATATTAATATAAAATTAATATAAAATTAATAAATAAAATAAATAAAAAAATATAATTATAAAATATTAAAATATTAAAAATTATTCTATAAATTAAATACTAAAATTATAAAATTAAAAACTATTAAGTATATTAATTTAATTTTCTTTTATTATTTTTTTAAGTAAAAAAATAAAATAAAAATATATATTAAATAAAAACTAAATTAAAATATTTATATTTAAAAAAGCTTGCAAAATTTTTTTAATTAAATAAAATAATATAATTTATTTAAAATAAAATTTTTTTTAACTATAATTATTTTTTAAATAAGAAAAATATATAATAATTAAATATAATTTATTATAATAAAAAAGATAAATAAAAATAATTATTAAAGTAAATTTATAAATAATTATAAATAAATAAAATTTAATTTATTAAAATTAAATTTAAATTTTAAAGTATATATAGTAAAATCTCTATAAATGTAATTTCCATAAGTGTAATCTCTCTCTAAATATAATATTTTACTTAGTCTTAAACTTGGAACTTAGTAAATAAATGTAACTCTTCCTTTTCTGTAATGTAACAGATTTGTGAGTCCTATTCTAGTAAATTTATTTCTCTAAGTGCAATTCACATGATTTATGTAATACAAAAATAATTAATATAAGATATAAACTTATTTTATGTATAATATTAATATCATTATTTGATATTATTTATTACAGATTAAGTTTTATATGTGAAGAATTACTATTTTCTTTCTTTAGTATTTGACTTTATCTTGTTTACAAAAACTTTAAAACATAAAGATTTTAATTGATTATTATTATTATAAATCTAATTATAATTATATAGAGAAAAGATTCTTTTAACATTTAGATTAGAAATTATTTATTTCTAATTCTAATTATCAATTATTACTTGTGTAGTTCTTAACTATGTGAAAATTGATAAATAAATAGATCTCATCAATCAATATTAAATATGAGCTTTATATATAGATAAAAAATAAATAAATATTAATTATACTAATTTTTCATAAGTCATTTTTTTTCTCCTGAATATTAGTATATAAAGATGATATAGTAAGTATGTGACACTTATTTGTCATCTATTACAACATGTTATAACTTTAAAATTTTATAAGCCACAACTAGTTACAACTAGATAATACTTTATTTATCATCATATTATAACAGTTAAGGAGTCATCTTTACTAGTGTATTTTTTTTACTCTTTTGAAAAAAGCAAAGTAAGTATTAATAAAACTTTTTTTTCTATATAATAATTTAAAAACTATCATAATAAAAAAATTTCTCTTATACTCACTTTAATATATTTATGTATTTTTTTTAGTTTTAATTAAAACACAGTGTAGCTTACTATAGAGCAACATTCTCAAATAATTACATTATTTCAAGAGGGATATAATATCCATAATACCACTATGTATTATAAAGTTTATTATATAACTATCACAAGACTTAAAAAAAAATATGAAAAAACAAATAGTATTAAAAATAAACCTAAATTGGGCCATCCATGAAAATTTAATATATGTAATAAATAAATTCTTATCTAGTAAATTATGATATGTGAATGTTCAAATATGATTTAATTACAAAAATTATTATTAATCAATGAAAAAATTAATATGAAGATTAATACAATATATAGAGTATTACATAGATAGAATATGGTGATATGAGTTAAAAGTATTTATCTGTCAAACATTGTGAAAAATAATTAATCTTTGTGAAAAAATACAAGAATTAGATAGTTGATAATTAGTCATATGTTATGTGGTCAGATGAATCAAAATTTCAAATATTCAGATCTGATAAATATCAATACTGCTAGAAAAAAAACAAATTATTATAAAGTACACACATTCAACTTATAGTCAAGTTTAATAATGATAATATAATAATATGAGGCTATTTTAATATTAATGACACTGACTATTGATAGAATAATGAATAGTACATATTATTGACAGATTCTTTTAAATAAATTTCTTTTATTATTAGATTTGTATAATTTAACATCTAATAATTTTATTTTTCAACAGAATAATGATCCTAAATATGTTATTGGCAAAATATTAAAATGATTTAAAAATCATAATATCTTTATTTTAAAGTGATCATCACAATTCTCCAATCTCAATCTAATTAAAAATTTATAGCATGATGTTAATCTTCATCTTTGTACACTTTCAAATGTAATTTCTAATAAAAATAATCTTTGGGAAAGGTTGAAGAAGATTTGAAATGATATCAAAGCAAATTATTATTTTGATCTGATTAATATGATGCTGGAGAGGATTAGGAATGTGATCAAAGTAAGAGAAGAGTATATGAAGTGATAGCATAATAGTTTTATTTTTTTTATTTGATTATATTTATTTTGAATAAAATTTTATTTAGAAAATGATTTCTATTTAATAAATGACAAAAAAAATATACTATCATTTTCACAAATTAATGATTATTGCTTATAGTTAGACATAATAATATCTGATTGTCTTTTATAGATAACTTAAGTTGTGTTTACTAATGTATATTTCATCATTTGCATATTCATCATTACTTTTATAATTGCAAATTTTGTGATTTAAGATTGATAACTTGAGTGATGTGATACTTATATAGATCACTGTATTATCCAAGATGATAGAATTAGAAGAGGAAGCAGAAAATAAATCAAAAATATTATGCAATCAATCCAATAAAACTACTTTAATTAATAA